AGGGGAAAGGAATGTTCAAATGGAATGAAGCTTGCTAATCAGCTAGCCTTAATACAGGAGCGTAGCCTGGATTTTCCATGTGGAGCCCAATGTAATCACAAGGGTCCTGAAATGTGGAAGAGGGAGAATAAAGAGAGTGAGCCTCAGAGTGATGCAGAGCAAGCAAAGCTCAGCCAGAAGTCCCTGTTGGCTTTGAAGATTGAATGGGGCACTAATTAGGAATGCTGGTAGCCTCTAAAGAAGCTGAAAAGGAGAAAACAGTTCTCCTAGAGGCCTTAGGAAGGAGTGCAGTCCTGCCAACACCTGGATTTAGCCTGGTTTGGACTTCTGACCTGCAGAACTGTAAGATAATTGCTTTTAATTATTGCAAGCCACCAGTTAAATGGTAATTTGTGTCAATAGAAATTGAATACCTTCTAGTAGCCATGGGACTGATGGGTGAGAGAGCAAGCCAATTACAAAAATACAAGGTAGAACAGATGCATGATCACATAAATGAATTTCAAATCAGGCTAAAGGAAGTCTGTAATGCAGCTGGAGCTTTAGAAAAGGAGGAAGGAAATAATCTGGCTTAGGAGAATTCACCCTCTTCTATCCAGTATGAGACCCTATGCAGCTAAAAATAGAGGAATGACAAAGTGGAATTTGGCTACGGCAGAACTCAACAAAGAAGCTCAATTGCCTGGGGCACTCAAAATACAGGGATCTGTTGCCTCAATTGTCAATGATACCATGATAGTGATTTAGAAGGAATCAATATTAAACATGAATATCAAAGAGAAATTATAACCACTCAGAATGGATTGCAGGTATTGTGTCGAGAAACTTTCATATAAATAAGAAAAATGTAAATTTGTGTGTTAAGGACATATAAGCAGAAAGGGGAAACAAGGACAACAGAAGACTGAGACATACTTATCTACTTTTAAATACCCAATGCTAAGTCCCTCACAAAACCTACGGTAAATGTATCCCCAACTAGCCACACAACAAGCAGCACCTGTAGCTCTTCTTATGCAGAATGAGACAAATGGATTACAAAGGTAGGATGGCGTCTTGGTGATGGTGGATGATGGGTTGGTTAGGAAGGTCACAGTGGGTGTGAGTTTGAGTTGGCATTTGTAAGGGTGTCTGCAGTCATGTGACAGACTTATTTGCAGTCTGAAGTGATTTCTGTTTGTGGGAAGTTTATCATGGTTTAAATTGCGGCCCCTTGTCTCAGGGCTCACCATTCTCATCCGGATGGCAAATGCAGGAAGGCAATCTCCAACGTAGGTAGCCAGGTTTGTCTTGCTCTATGTGTTTTGAGCAGAGAAATTTTGAGAGTCTAAAAACCCATTTTGTAATCCTCCAAACCAATATATGGTTTCCTATGGTGCTTCTCATTTCTGTCTTTGTCACACCCCAGCCACTTTTGTCTCAGGGGAGGGAGGAACAGAAAGACTTTGCCCAGGACTGCTGGGAGGTAGAGGAGAAGGGGAAACACCAGGGTTTTTGCACAGGAAGGGTGATTCTGCAGCTGTGGCTAAACTGCTGGCACAGAAGTGCAGCCGAGTCCTGGGTTCTGAGGGCTGGATCTTCAGAGTGGAGAATGATGCATTAGGCATCTTGGCTGAGAATCGATCTTGGGCATCCCTGAATCATCTGGAGACTTGTTGTTAAAGTAAACCAGAACTCCAGTCGCATCATGGTCTGTCTGTACCAGAAGGGAGTTGTGGCCTGGGGTGGTTAGCACCTCAGAGTCACTTCTTTTCCCATCTCTATCACCTCATGCCGGGGTGACTGGATAACTCCAGCATCTGTGTGCTCTATGAAAGAAGACGAATTGGGCATCAGAATAAGGAAAATATAAGGTATCATCCATGCAGGAGCCCAGTATGACAATGGTAAATATTCTGAAGACTCACTCGCTACCCAGGATACAAGGGACACACAGCAGAGTCCAGGAGCCCATGGCAGGGTGAAACAGATGTGGAGACATTCCAGGCCCTCTGTGAGCATGAGCAAATAAATGAATGTTGTGACACTTTGTCCCCCACAGGATGCTTATCTGTGGTGTCTTTGATTGGGCCTACACCCCCAACTGCTTTAAGAGGAGGCTGCATGCCTGGGAGATGAAACAGTCAGGAATTAACTCAACTATAATTGATCTGAGATACAGATGCACACATGCAGAGGCTCCCTGGGTATTTGTTTTGATATTATCAATTCATGGTTCCTTCTCCATAATATGCCTTACATAGAGCCTGCCAACTATATCATCTGCACCTCAGACTCCATTATTTAAGATGAACTCATTGTCTTACTGCAGGCCGAAGGCTTCTCCGCAAACTCTCTCATTCCTCTCACTGGTGGCTTGGTGCTTCTACTCCTTTCGTTGCTTAAATTATCCGTCAGCGAGTTAGGGTAGGCATCTGAAGATGCATGTCAACTGCATTATTAGGGATACAGAAACTGAGCTGATGCCCTGAGAGCTGATTACATTTGAAGCTCTCTTGATGAAAAACCTGGGTTTATTTATCCTTGAACCGTATTGAATTCCCAAGGCCCATGGAATGGAACCTCTGCATTCTCTATTCCCACAATAAAACGAGATAAGATTGTCTTATTCTTGAAGACTTGCAACTAAAATGTTCTATTGAATTAGAATCTTATTTGCTACCCCTAGAAAAGTTCAGTAACCATCATTAACACCTGGCCTTTTCCCCCACTGCTTACTTCTCCTGACCTACTTCCTCTCAGAGATTATGGAAAGCTGAGAGAAAGATCTGTTTTGGGTTGGTTAATTAAGTTACTTGCCAACAAAGGAGGGCACATTTTTGCTGTTGGCACAGAAGCATAGTCCCTGCAGTTGACACTTCCCAAAGTTAAAGAAATTATTGGTTGCAGACTAAGCTTGTGTTACTGGAGGGGCCTATTTCCCTGTGGACTCTCCTTTTGCAGGGTCTTTGGATCCGGTATATATAAAACTATGGCCATAATTCTGTCTTAAAAAGACAATTGCATACTTCCTGTAACCAGGTACCAAGTATGGCAGGCAGCATGATGACCTCTTAAAGATGTCCATGTCTAATTCCCAGAAACTGGGAGTGTGTCAAGTCTATGTAGCAAGGGAAAGAATGTTCCAAATGGAGATGACTTGCCTAATCAGCTGGCCTTAATACAGGAGGCGTGGCCTGGATTTTCCAGGTGGGCTCAATGTAATCTGAGGTCTAAAATGTGGAAGAGGGAGAATGAAGAGTGAGCCTCTGAAGTGATGCAGAGTCCCTGTTGGCTTTGAAGATTGAATGGGGCCATGAGCCAGGAATGCTGGTGGCCTCTAGGCTGAATGAAGAAAGATAGTTCTACCGGAGGGGAAACCTCGAGGAAGGAATGTAGCCCTGCAATACCTGGATTTTGTGCCCAGTTTTGGACTTCTGACCTGCAGAACTGTAAGATAATAAGTTTTTGTCATTGTAAGCCATAAAGTTATTGGTAATTTGTGTCAATAGAAATTGAATACCTTCTAGTAGCCATGGGACTGATGGGTGAGAGGCAGAAGCCAGATACAAAATACAGGTAGAGACAGATGCATGATCACATGGAAAGAATTTAAATCAGGCCAGGAAGCCTATTCAAAACATCTTCTTATGTCTGCCTAGGACTCATCTTCTTCAGGATACACACTGGACTATGCCACATATGTGGATATGCTGGTGGCATCACTGTGATTGTCAACTCCTGGGGGAGAGGTACCTCTGCTGTGGTCTGGGTAACAACTCCATTTCTTGCTATTCTACTCTCTTCAGAGCAGGTAGGGTTGGCCTTGGCTGATTTGGGGCCAGGCTTTCCAAGGCTCCTTTGACACAAGAACTCCTTCTCTGGTTTTCTCAGCTCAGAACATGGGCCACCACCACCCCAGCTCTTTGTGCCCCCACATCTTAAGCGAGCTCAGAGGTATATGCTACAAAGCACACCTGTCACTCCAGCCCCCTCAGCTCAATTTAAAGCAAAACCCACCTCTACAATGGAGGAAGAAGAATTCGGTTACTAATTCCTTTATTCCCAGCCATCATTCAAGACCTCTGCAAACCAACTCCTGAATCTAGGTTAACCTCAGAGTAACCCTTAACCGTCTTTTCCAGGAATCTCCACTTCTCCTGGAGCCCTGGATGACAGCGAAGCCACAGTGCCTCCTAGTGGCCAGTAGGCTGGAACAGCACAAATGTGCTGTCTTTTGCTAAGACACAGGGACTGGGCTTTGTTTCACTGAGTGCGGAGCATATAGAGATATTATGATTAGTTGGTAGAAGGCCAGCAAATAATATTAGTGCTATAGAGTAGGACAGAGCACCGAGACATTGACAATCTGCGGTCAGAAGTTGGAAACATAATGCTGGGTTTAATACTGATAAGCAGCCGGTCTCAATGTGAAAAACTTGATGGCTGGCTAACATGATGCTGAATCAGATTTATAATTCTCTGTCCCTTCCAAGCGACTGAGCTAGCCCTGCATGGAAGAGAAAGTTCGCCACTGATCTTGGCACACGTTGGCAGCACCAAAGTCTACCTTTTCTCTAGGGAACAGGAGGAAAACAGGAAATAAGGAGAAACTAAAATGAAGAGAACAAATACTAGCTTGATTTCCCTTCCATAGAAGGTTTGGCAAGGAATGGGAAGATTAAAAAAAAAACAGGATTATTATTTTCGGGGTGCCCCACAAAATGGGGTATGTGGAACAAACTGTTGTCCCAGGAGACTGGCTTTAAACGGGGTAAAACAATAGTAACATATCAGTTACTCCCTCAGGTGACCACTGCCCCACAGAATACTCATAAAACAGCAAATACCCGGGTACATTAATTAAATTAATCGACCCAATCTGTACTATCTGACCTAATCTCAACGTTCTCTTGATTGTGTTTCTCATCTTGCCATATGGTCAATGGAACACAGAGGTTATGAAGCCCAATCTGTACTATCTGACCTAATCTCAACGTTCTCTTGATTGTGTTTCTCATCTTGCCATATGGTCCAATGGAACACAGAGGTTATGTGATAGAAATAAATAACAATATAAGAATACTCTAGTAATAACATGCCCCAAACAAAGATATGTCTCAACTGGATTATGAATGGCCTTTAAGTTTTTTAAAAAAAGTATTTGATATCAGAGTTTAATATCTCTATACCATTTAAGTTAAATATCAGACACATCACAAAGAATCTAACATTAAAATTCAAGGAAAATTAGAATTCCAAGTAAAGTTATTTTCACCTTAATCCCAATAATTAAGGATAATGTCACTCACTGTTTCTATTGTTATCTACATAGTTGGAAAAAATATCAAAAACAACATTAAAAATGTCAATTAATTAAAGTCCTAAAAAAAAATAAGGAATAACTTGGCTGGAATGTTGGTGAGGGCAAGAGCCCTGGGAAGTGAGCACAGCAGTCCATTTGTCCTAGAGGGCATTTGCAGATCCTGACTCAGCTCTCAGGAAGCTGACTCACAGGCCAGGGGGGTAAAGGCAAAGACCAGAACATACCAAATGTGTCATTGCCAAATTCCAATAGTAACGATAAGCCAGAGACAAACCTGTTCTCCAGATGCTCCAGGACACCTGAAGCCTTAAACTGATTCAGGGAGCCTGATCGTTTATACCTACATGCACTTTCAGAAGCACAGAAAAATGATTGCTGCAGAAAAATATGGTCCATCCTACACCAAAAATTATTTCTACAGCTATAGCATTTGGCACAGTGTCAAACATCATCAGATTGGTAAGGAGAAATACAAACGCCATGAAAACTCAAGCACCATAACTGAGAAGCAGCACAAAAAGAAAATCACAAAAATATCCTGTGAAGATTTCGGGTGAAAATGATCAGACAGACTCTGAAACAACTGTGTGTCCTATGTTCAAATAATAAAAAGTGATCTCAGAAAATACGAGGGAGTTATTAACTATAAATAACATAGCAGATTGGAAAAAGAAAAAAATAGAAATTTTGACAAGGAGATGGTGAGTGAGTGGTCATTTTAATCCATCACATCGGTGAGGTTTTATTAGAGGAATAAAGGAAAGGGAGATGTACAATGAGCAAATGGACATAAAGCCTGACTTGCCATCAGGAATTAGATTGGATAAGGAGGGGAGGGAAGTCAGGAGGGGCTAATGGACAGTGACAATGCTTTCAGACAATTTCCAGTATGCTGCTTTTTAGTAATTCTACCCAATACTTCAGAAAGATTTCTAGAATTATCTTAGTTTAGGCAGAAGAAGAGTAGTGAATATGGAGCTAGACACACAGAGTGTATTATCAGAGAGGGCAATTGATTGCTTCAGAAGTTCTTACAAGGAATATTTTAATCCACCAAGGAACCTTTAATATATAAGGCAGACAAGTGGAAATGTCCTCTGAACTGACTGGTCCAGGTCTAGATATACTCTTGGGCTAGGATGATTACATAGAAGAGTTAGAAAGTTCAGGAGAAGCAGAAATCATCTGGAGCTAAGATTTGGGACTGGTTGCCGGGGTATCCATTTGTGTGCATTTCTTTGAACTAGAAAAAGGGCTGAATAACATAGCGTAAATGATAATCACTATCATTAACAACATCATTATTAACATACTTTAACAAAAATAAAACAGAAGGGAAAAGATTTCCAAACGCATACTATGTGTTGAGACTTTGCTAGACAGCCAGGGTGTCACCAAGGATAACAAGTCATTCACATGCTGACAACTACAGAGGGGGAGCCTGCTGTTTGCTGCCTGGTATAATCACTATCTGTATTACTAAGTTTATTGTACATGTTTCATGATCTCATACTTTTATGGGAGAGAAACTATCACTACCCCTGAGGACTCAATCTCTGATAAGTCACTTTAGGTTTCTTCAGTTGTACCCAAGAAGTGTTCCAAATCCCTGAGACACATTTTCAAACAACAATTATAGCGCTCATGTTTTAAGAAATAGTTCATTTCCTCCCACTATATGAATCCTAGCTATATCTGAAAACTCGCTTCTTCCCCGGGAGGATGAGGAATAAGGAAAGGCCGCTGTGAGCTGAGTAGAGAGGAGAGAGTCCTGCAGTTTTGTGCACAGGAGGGAAGTGTCTCTGCACCGCTGTGGCTAAGCTGCTGGCACAGAGATACACGGCTGAGTCGCCAAGCTCTGCAGGCTGGATCCTGAGAGTGGAGTCTACTCCTTTGAGCCTCTCTGCAGAAAATCGATCCTTAGGCAACTGTGAATCATCTACTGCTTCCTCATTCTCATATCGAACCAGAAGCTCCGGGCCCTGTCCCAAGTTCTGCCGGTACCAGTAAAGGGTATTGTGGCCAGAAATAGGATTGCACCAAAAAGCCACAGGCTGTTTTTTCTCTGTGATCTTATATCTCGGAGACTGGGTCACTCCAGCTTCTGTGAGTTCTGTGGGGCGGGAGGGGGGTGGGGGGTGGGGGTGGGGGGAAGAATTTGAAAACAGAAGGAAATGACTAGAATAATCTCTGGGAGATTATGTGAGGATCATGGTGCTCCTAGGACTCACCTGCCCCCAGGAGACAGAGGGCCGCCCAGCAGAGGAGCCTGGTGCCCATGGCAAAGTCAGGGCAGGATGGGAGCTTTGCCAGATCAGGGTCACTGTGAGCAGGAGCAGAGGAAGTGAGATGTAGCTGTCCTTACACGGAAGTTCCTACAGTGACATCATTGTCTCCACAAATGCCTAAGTTCTTAGAAAACAATTGTTGTAAACTAAAACACAGCTAAAAGTTTGTTTAACGTATTCATAGACTGGAAGTTCATCCAAGCGTCCTCACTCACATGTTCAGGGCTTGGGGGATTAGATCTCTCCCTACATCTCTAGGCCTATCCTGTGCTGGATGTTTCTACTTGGAAGTCTCAAAGGCAACTCAAAATATATATATCAATTAGTGACCTCTTGATTTTAGCATTTTGCTAAGCATTTTCCTTCTCTTTTGGTATTTCTTTTCTACCAGGTCCTCCATGCTCCCAGTCCTCTAGGGTCATTGACACAGCTTTATCCTAGAACTGCATTGAACCAGCCAACACACTCTAACCTAAAGGGGTAAAATAATTCCCTCAGCACAAAGTTGGGAGGTTTCATTTTATCTGAAGGCCAATGACCAGTTCGCTTTTTACTGTTATCAATCTTCATTATGCGTTATGTATCAAGCCTTCACTACGATTCTGCCTGTAGTTCTTGGTCACCAATGTATTGATAGTAAGTTCTGATACCGTAACCAAAATGGGCGAAGAACACTCTAACTCCTGAAAATATTAGGGTGAATATCTAACAATAAATGCAAAATTGAACAGAACCTCTGGGATCTTAAACACTTACACTTCTATCATATTTTACAATTGAATTGCAGTGTTAGTATCCAGCAGTTTTTTAAAAAATTATGCAGCATTAGTTATGACACGCTTCTCATTGTCTGAATGGTAGAGTGGGAAGGCTTGAGGGATTGGAGAAGCCCCGAGAATCAATATGAATGAACTAACCAATGATATGTATGTTCAGAGAAAGGGAGTAGTACAACTCAGCCTAGAGAAATCCAAGTTCCTAAAACCTAGGGGACACATGTCAAGGTTATCAGGTGAAGACCTGTGAGTGTAGAATTATCAGAGCCATCTCTTTTCCATATAAATTGTTTATCATTGTGGTAGAAAAGCTGCTAGTCGGAGCCCACGTTATGTTGACACCAATTAATAATTTCATGATGGAAAGTGTCTTCACATCACAGTGTCACTATCTCTTCCATCCTTGTGACCAGGGCTTAAGGCCCTGGATGACAACAGCATTGAGAGAGTGGAGGCTGGGTGGCTGGAGACAGGACCTATCAGGTTGCATGTGAAATACAAAACAAATGAACAAAAAAACACCCATGATTGTGTCAGGGCCCAAAGGGCCCTCTCATTGCTCACAGAAGTAAATGCCAGAGTTCTAGAAAATCTGGTTCTTGTTAAGAAGATTTGTGGTGTTGGCCGGGGGTGGTGGCTCATGCCTGTAATCCCAGCACTTTGGGAGGCCGAGGCAGGTGGATCACGAGGTCAGGAGATCAAGACCATCCTGGCTAACATGGTGAAACCCTGTCCCTACTAAAAATACAAAAAAAAGGAAAAAATTAGCCGGGTGTGGTGGTGGGCGCCTGTAGTCCCAGCTACTCAGGAGGCTGAGGCAGGAGAATGGCGTGAACCTGGGAGACAGAGCTTGCAGTGAGCCGAGATCATGCCACTGCACTCCAGCCTGGGTGACAGAGACAGACTCCGTCTCAAAAAAAATAATTTGCGGTGGTGTTACTGGAAACATCTACAATTGTCCGCTCCCATCTTCTACATTCCCCTTACATACTCCTGTCGATCATCCAGTGCACACTAGAATAGGTTAGGTGTAGGGCACAGCGCATTGCTAGGGTTTCTGTGATGTTCTCCCAAGGAGGCATATTTCTCTCCGCATTGGTCTGTGAGCATTCAGGTTGGTTCCTGGCTCTCCTCCATCTACCCCTCAAGTGGGCTCAGAAGATTCTCCACTCAATGGTTTGCTACAGTTCAGATTTCACTGTTGAGCAGAACCCACTGGCATCAGTGGAGAAAGATGAGTTTCTACTGACCACTCAAAACACCTGCAAACTAGATACTGAATGCTAGGATGAAGTCACACTTTTCCTTTAAACTCAACTTCTCAGGCAACACTTAATCCTGTTTCAAAAACATTGGCACTCCATCAAACCTCAGTGCCTCCTGATGAGCCACGGGGCTTAGGCCCTCCATACATGGCTCAGGGAGGGTGATGGGACTTCTAAACAATGGAAACTAGATCAGGGATACTATCGGACAGTGTTTGTGGGGGACTGAAGGGAATTCCTTCCAGCTCCATCTAATCCTTCTGTCCTGCTAGAGACCCCTCCACACAGACAGTGTTTCGGCCCTTCTAGAGTCCCCTCCTGTTACACAAACACATATTTTCCAGCCACAACTTAGGACAAGCACTACCACTCCTCTGCTTACATTCAGGCATTTCCCTAACATCTGTGAGTTCTTGACCAACCTGTAGAGAACTCAGAATCTCCTGTTTCAGTTAAAACAGTCCTATGTATTACTAAACAGCTTCTTGACATGCATTGTTAGCTAAGTTTTGTGCTCCTCTCAAAGATGTCAGGCTATTTTGTCCTCAGACTATAAATTCTCTTATCTTTTGGGGGGACTTTTAAAAATCATCGCCTGTCCCTATAGAAAAAGGATACTATAGGGTTAAAAGAAACCTTATCTTGTGTGTTCATTTTGTGGTAATCATAGAATGTTTCAAAGATATTGTAAATGAATATAAAAAAATACCATCACAAAACTGAAATCATGCCAACATTTCAAGATCTTAAGATTTTTTTCTTCTAATTTTATTTAAAAAACGGACACCTTTGGAAGAGCTGAATCATACAACAAACAAAATATTAAAATGTATTTCAATTGTTAACATCTTTTGACATTTGCTTTATCTCTTTTTGTGTATTTTACCCTCAGTTTCTGAAGTAAAACACTTTATTCTTATTGATTCAGTATGTCTCTTCTTAAAAGAGGCCATTATCTTAGAAAACCACAAATGCCTTTATTACACTCAAAACTTTATTTCAAAAACATTATTTTCTCATATACCCTTCACATTGCCCTTTCTCCAGTTGTACCAATGTGCTTTTTGGTTTTGTTTTTTTTTTTCTACAGGACATTATCAAAGATTATGCATTTCTTTTGGTTGTCAGGTCTTCTATTTGGCCCACTTATATTTTCCAATTTTCATGGTCTTGATTTTTGTAAAAGTCCATGTCCGCTGAGTGGTAAAATGACCCCCAATCAGAATTTGCACATTATCAGAGGTTAAATATTTTGGCAAACACCATGCCATAGTTGATGTGTGTTTCCCATTGCATCTGATCAATTACAAGAACATACAATGCTATCTTTACACATTTTTGGTGATACTAAATTTAGCATCATAGACATGAGATCTCTCCATTGTGAAGATATCATTTATCTTTTATAGTTAATAAGCAATTAGTGGAGTGATACTTTGACACAATACAGATATCTTGGTCTCCAATAACCTTTCGGATGTTGGTTTTGACATCACCTGATGGTCTCTGTCTGTAACTGCATTAATGGCTACATTGATTTTCTAATTAAATGTACTAACTAGCATTATTCTGTAACGAAGACATTCTTACCTACATCTTTTTATTCTCATTATAGCCTTATAGATTTTTAAAATTTGTTATAATTTAGTGTCCTCATTATTATTCTCTAATGTTTAGATACTCCTGTTTGGCTAGTGGGAGCCCCGTGAAACTGCTACTGTGGATTTTTTGTATGTTTTCTGGGTCATGAGACTTCCTTGATTTCTGCCAAAAGATGTTTTTGACTTTCCCTGCTCTGGATCTAGAAGAAGTCATTTCTGCTTTGTTTCTTTCAGAAACATTTAGAAATCAAATACCATGCAATAATTCTGCCCATTACTGCTGGGAATACAGCTACGAATAAATAAAGCAATTGTCCATCGACTTTATATTGCTTTTTACATATGGTATGGTTAAAGTTAGGAAATACATAATTTTTAAAAAAGTTCATATTGATACCTCCAATTCAAATAAACACCACAGATTTCTTCCTTGTCTTTCCCTATTTCTTATTTGTATCTCTCTTCCTATTGTAAGAACTCTGTTTCCCAGCCATGTCAATGAATTTACTTGTTCTCTTTTGTACAGTACATTAAAACTGTTTCGGAAATGTGTACTAAAAACACTAAGAGCAACAAACCTCCCAAGTGAAGTTCAACCCCAACCTCATTTAGCCTTATAATCATAAAACTATTAAAATCTAAAGATAAAATGAAACTAAAAACAACCAGAAAAGAAAAGCCATTACCTCCTAATAAGATATACGAATGATCAATAATATATGAAAAGATGCTTAGTATGTACTGTTTGGGTCTTCTATCTAAGTTCAGTTTATTACATGCAACATGTTGGAAAAGCTCTTTGACATTGGCCTTGGCAATGATTTCTTTGATATCATACAAAAAGTTCAGGCTACAAAAGCAAAAATAAATGGGACTAAATCAAACTGAAAAACTTCTGCACAACAAATACAACAATCAACAAAATGAAAAGGCAACCTGTGGATTTGAAAAAATATTTGCAAACCATATGTCAGCTAAGAGATTAATATACCAAACATATAAAGACCCCATACAACTCTCTGGCAAGAGAACATATAACCCTATTTAAACCGAGCAAAGGACGTAAACAGACATTTCTACCAAGAAGACATAAAAATGGCCAAGATGCTCAATATCACTAAATGTTAGAAAAGTGCAAATCAAAACTGCTATGAGATAGCACCTCACACCCATTAGGATAGCTATTATTAAAAAGATAAGTTGCAAGAGTATAGAGAAAAAGGAACTTTTATACACTGTTGGTGGAAAAGTAGATTGATGCAATCATTAAGAAAATTAGTGTAAATGTTCCTAAAGAAATTAAAAATAGAATTATATGACCCAGCAATCTCTTTTCTTGGTATATACCCAAAGAAAATGAAATCCCACCTCTTGGAGATATCTGCACTCCCATGTTCATTGCAGCATTATTTACAAAGCCAAGATATGGAAACAACCTAAGTGTCTACTGATAGACAAAGGATGAAGAAACTGTGGTATACATATACAGTGGAGTATTATTTGGTCCTAAAAGAATAATGAGATCTTGCCATTTGCCTCAACAAACACAGATGAACCTGGAGGACATTAGGCTAAGTGAAATAAGCCAGACACAGAGAAATAGTATATATTATTTCTATGTGAAATTTATAAACACTCAAATATACAGAGAGAATGAAATAGTGGTTACTGAGAGGATGGCAGGGGGAGGGAATAGGAAATGGGAATATTTAGGCCAAATGACATAAGATAGCAGATAGGCAGGATGAAGAATTCTAAAGATCTAATGTACCACATGAAAACTATAGTTAATAATAATATATTCAGAATTTTTTTCTAAATGAGTAAATTATATCTGCTATTGCCACACGGATTGAATGGTAACTATGTGAGATGATGGCTATATGAATTTGTTTCACTATAGTAACCATTTTCCTATAGGTATGTATCTCATAATATCATGTTATGTACCTGAAGTATACGTAATAAAATTTTAAAATTTAAAGTAAAAGTTCAAAAAAAGATGCTTAACATCATTAGTCATTAGAAACATGTAAATCAAAATCGCAATGAGGTATCACTTCGCATTTACCGGGATGGCTAAAATAATTTTTAATAAGAAAAACAAAACAGAAATTAAGTGTTGGCAAGGCTGTGAAGAAACTGGAAGGTTTTTACATTGTTGTGGGAATACAAAATGCTGAGGCTGCTGCAAAACACTGTTGGGCAGTTGCTCAGAATGTCAAATATAGAATTCCCATGTGACTCAGCAATTCCGCCCCTAGGTATACACCCAGAATAATTGAGAGTAGGAAATCAGACAGATACTTGTGGGCCAGTGTTTATTGCAAGATTATTTATAACAGTCAAAAAGTGGAAACAACCCACATATCCATCAGCTGATGATGAAATAAACAAAATGTGGTCTATAGACACAACGAAGTATTAAATATACACACAATGTCTGTATATTGTATACACAATGATCTATACAGACAATGAAGTAGCTATGTAAAGGAGTAAAATTCTGACACATGCTACAATATGGATGAATCTTGAAAGCTTTAGGCCAAGAGAAAGCAGACAGACACAAAGGGAAATATGTTTTATGATTTCCCATAAATTAACTATTTAGAGTTGGTAAATTCATACAAACAAAGGGTAGATTAGGGGTTACCAGAGGCTGAGAAGCAGGGGAGATGTGGAGTTATTGCTTAATGGGTGTGGTTTCTCTTTGAGATCATGAAAAACATTTGGAAACAGCAGTGATGGTGCTACAACATTGTGAATGTATGTAATTCCACTTAATTGTATGTTTTAAAATTGTTAAAGTAAAAAATTATAGTTTTATGCACATATAAAACATTTAAAAATTAATGCTTAAAAACTGGTGATATATATTTTATATATATAAAAAACTGGTAATGTATATACTATATATTATACATATATGATATAATGTATATACTATATGTAATATATATACTATATATTATACATATATGGTTATACATATATTTATAACCACAGTTTTTAAATGTTAATTTTTAAATGTTGATTAAAACCTTCAAAATGGCTAAAATAAATATTGACAACTCAGTTCTCCATGAGGGACCCTAAAGACAATGAAAGGAACTCAAGTAATTTAAACATACAGTCATCTCTTAGTATCCTGAGGGGATTGGTTCCAGGAAACCCTGCTGATACCCTAATCCGAGGGTGCCCACCTTCCTCACAGTCAACCTTTCATATCCTTGGGTTCCAAATCAGCTAATACAGAGGGTCAAGTATATTGCTAATTTATTTCAAAATGTTGCTTGTCAGAATATATCTCAGAAAGGGTTTTCTGATATAGTTATTGTATTAGTCTGTTTTCACACTGCTGTGAAGAAATACCCGGGACTGGGTAATTTAATTTATAAAGGAACAAGATTTATTTGACTCACAGTTCACATGGCTGAGAAGGCCTCAGGAAATTTGCAGTCATGGCAGAAGGAGAAGGGAAGCAAGGCACATCTCACATGGCAGCAGAACAGAGAAAGAGAAAAGAAAACTGTCATTTCTAAACCATCAGGCCCTGTGAGAATTCACTCACTATTAGGAGAACAGCTGGGGGAAACTGCCCCCACAATCCAATCACATCCCACCAGGACCCTCCCTTGACACATGGGAATTACAATTTAAGATGAAGGTGGTGACACAGAACCAGACCATATCAGTTATAATTTTCTTCTGTAGTACAATACAGTTCTACTAGTCCATATCTTTTCTCATATTTGGGACTATTATTTCTTTGAAAACTTTCCAGTCTGGTAAGTTTGCATTCATAATTTACTGTTTCAGATTGGAATACTCTGATTCTAAGTGAGGTTAAGAACCTATTCTTTTTTTTTTTTTTAAGATGGAGTCTTGCTCTGTCACCCTGTCTGGAGTGCAGGGGTGATCTTGACTCACTGCAACCTCCACCTCCCAGGTTCAAGCAATTCTTGTGCCTCAGACTCCCGAGTAGCTGCTGGGACCACAGGCACATCCCACCATGCCCAACTAATTTTTTGTATTTTTTATAGAGACGAGGTCTCGCCATGTTGGCCAGGCTTGTCTCGAACCCCTGACCTCCTGCCCACCTCGGCTTCCCAAAGTGCTGGGATTACAGGGATGAACCACTGCACTTGGCCCAATTACCTATCTTTATGTTAGTGGTAATTTATGTTTACTTTTCTGTGAAATGCCTAAGTATTGCCATTTTATTGGGTTGTCTTTTTCTTAGTAAGTTATGAGAATGCTTTACTCGTTTTAGATACTAACTCTATTAGATAAGAAAAGCTATGCTACAGAAAACAAAATAAAAATAAATCTTAAAATGTCATTGGCTTAATTCTGTGAAGTCTTACTTCCCATGTCCACAAAGCCCAGCAGGGCCTAAGTGGCTTTCTTCCATGGCTCTTCACCAAATTATGACCCAGTGAGCCAGGCTGCTTCCATATTATCGTTAGTCAATCTGTATCGCGTAGCTCCCAAGTTTATTAAGGCATGGCAAAAGAGTTGAAGGGTATCCGTATAGAAAACAGTCAACAGTAGGCTTGAGACTGCGGCGCTTAGAAAGTTCTGCTTGCAAGACTAGCATTTGGCTGGCATCTGGGAAGCAGTCTGGTGAGCAGTGCCCTGCACTGACATGAAGTTTCTCCTAACTGAGAGGAGTAGCTCATTGTGCCTAGACTGATATAGCAAACAGTATTGTGCTGAACACCAGATTTCCTTCTGGGCTGTGGATTTTGGGTTCATACTAGGCAGTGAGTGCCTCCATGACCGGCCTCCACTGAAGCCTCTGGGGTGTTGAGTCTCTGATGAGCTCCACAGGCAGAAACATTGCACACGTGTTAATGCATTTTTGTTGCTGGGAGAAGTGAGATCTGTGTGACCCCTCCTGGGAGGAAGAGAGCATAAGGAAGCCAATGTATGAACTCCTCTAGATTCCTTCTGTGTGTTTTCTTCATATGATCTACTGCTGAATATTTACTATGACACTGTAATAAATCTCAACTGTAAGTGCAACTGTATGCTGTATCCCATGAGTCTTTGCAGCTAATTTCTGTGTCTACTTGAGGACTCCCTTCACAGTGCCACAAGTTATTTCTTTTTTCTCTTCTTTTCTTTCTTTCTTTCTTTTTTTTTTTTTTTTTTTTTTTTTCTGAGACGGAATCTCACACTGTCACCAGGTGGTTAGAGTGCAGTGGCACGATCTTGGCTTACTGCAATCTCCATCTCCAAGGTTCGAGTGATTCTCCTGCCTCAGCCTCCTGAGTAACTGGGACTACAGGCGCCCGCCACCACATCCAGCTAATTTTTGTATTTTTAGTAGAGATGGGATTTCACCATGTTGGCCAGGATGTTCTCGATCTCCTGACTTTGTGATCCACCCATCTCGGCCTCCCAAAGTGCTGGGATTACAGGCGTGAGCCACCGCGCTTGGCCGCCGCAAGTTATTACTAAGGGCCAGCCTTGGGATTGCCCACATCAGTTCTGCACACATCCAGTTATTCAGAATCTCTTCATATGTTCCCAGCCCTTTAACTACAACTGAAGCCTGGAACCAAAGGGGAGCCAAGGCACTTTTGTGAGCGTAAACGGTCTTTGTCATGCTGATTATTCTTCATTTGCATGCATTCCTCATGTCTTTTCCAGGCTGTGGCTTGACTTTTCGTTTTTTATCATGTGTTTTGATACATGATTAATACAGCTAATGTCAGGTTTTAATTTTTGTTGTTGTCGTTGTTTTGAGATGGAGTTTCACTCTGTCGCCCAGGCTGGAGTGCTGTGCTGCCATCTCGGCTCACTGCCACCTCCACCTCCCAGGTTCAAGTGATTCTCATGCCTCACCTTCCAGAGTAGCTGGGAGTACAGGCACCCGCCCACTCGCCAGGTTAATTTTTGTGTTTTTAGTAGAGATGAGGTTTTGCCATGTTGCCTAAGCTGGCCTCGAACACTTGGGCTCAAGTGATCCACTGCCTTGGCCTCACGAAATGCTGGGATTAAAGTCATGAGCCACCACGCCCAGCCAGTATTATTTTTTATGGCTTGTGTTCTTTTGTATTTCCACTAAAAAATTCTTCCCTCAAAGGATAAAAATATTTTCCTTAATTTCTTCTAGTAAAATTTAAGTTTTTCTGCTTATAGTTAAGAGTACATGTACCTGAAATACACTCTCATGTAAGGAATTAAGTAGAGACTTGGGGATAAGAGGGAGGAACATATGCTCAGTGCAAAAAAAGTATCTGTAAAAACACATCAAAACAACATAACACGTATGAGGAAATAACTGAACATAGAGGAGTGTGGCTGGAGCAGAGAGAACCAGGGGAGACTTGTGCAAAATGATGATGGAGATGTAGGTGAAGGGCAAATGACAGAGGGCCCCATGAGGCTATTGCCCCATAGAGGAAAGGCAGCCAGGAACAGAGGTCAGGAGTGAAGGTTCGTGGCTATGAGTGGAAGGGATAGTGGAGGATGGGGAAAGGGGCAGATGAAGAAGTCACTGAAGCCCACAGGTGAGAGAAGAAGTCCAGGCTTTGGGGTTAAGAGAATTATCACTAATCTCAACTAGTGATGCCTTTTCCTTTCTAAAAGCAGGAAAAAAAAAAAAAAAAAAAAAAAAAAAAAACAGCTGCAGAAGAGAGACTAGGCGAGCTAAGGGTGTTGGGGTGACCTCCAGTTGGTTTGAGACTGGGGTAGGAATGGACGTCAGCACTGAGGGTCCTAAGGCCCCTGCTCTATGGCCTCCAGGCTGGCCAGGGCTCTCTGACTCCTGTGGAGGCCTGGACTGCCCGGGGTGGGGACAGACACAGAGCAACCTCAGTCTTTCTAACTGCCCTTTACGTGCAGAGAGGAGGCAGCCGTGCAGCACTGTGGGTTCACTGCTGGCACAAAGGTACACAGATGTCTGGGAGCGGGTAGCGGACTCCAGAGTGAGGAGGAAATCCTCTGTCTTTGATCTAGAGACACTGTAGCCATCTGAGACTTCTACTTTGTCAGTGTCTTCAACACCATATGAGTAATGGATCAGCCTCAGCCCATGCCCCAGGTCTTGTCGATACCAGTACATATAGCAGTGGTTCTCAGTCTGGTGACACCTCAGAGTCACTGGTGTTCCTGTCTCTGTGATCTTGTGTCTTGGGCTCTGGGTGATTCCAGCATCCGTGTGTCCTGTAATAGAAAACAATAGACCCTGATGCTGTAATCCCTAGAAAAAGGCTCTTAGTGAGGCCTTGGGAATTCCAGGGAAGGAAGCCCACCTGTGACCAGCCCTCACCTGTCCACAGGAGACAAAGGGCCACATAGAAGAAGAACCTTGTGCCCATTTCAGGTCCAGGCCAGGATCTCATGTCTCCCAGCCCTGCTTGGGAAAATAGAACTTAGGTTCTTAGTGACTCGATGACATCAGTGCCCCTGACAAATAGTTGAGCTGCAAAGTTAACCTGCCACACCCCTTCCATTCTCCACAAAAATAAATCAAGTATATATATATATATATGTAATTTATGATATGTACAGCAGTATTTTATAGGACATATATACAATTAATAGCTCAGAATGGGAATAATCTGTAGACTACTTTTAAAGACATAGTGCATATGCTCTTTGCAGGATTTTAGAACGAAAATGCATTCCTCTCTGCATATTTTGTTCCCATTAGGATACAATTCTTCATTTTTATGCTGTTTTAATTGTTTCTAATATTTATGTAGTCTAAGGGACATTCTCATGGCAGTCTGGTGTCCTTTAGAACTCATCTCCTCAAATTTGCCTCTAAGTTCCTTTTATTAGATTTTATCTTTTCTCAAACTCTGGATAACTGGATGTCAGCCTATAGGAATGGCCTCTGTTAAAAGAGCCACCTGACATCTGGGAAGGTTTCAAAAAGTCTTAAGGTTAGGGTCCATATAATTTGTATATTGTTTTATGCTCTGTCACATTAGTTCACCTCACAGGAGTCTCATCATCAGAGCTCAGACCTCTGTGTGTTCCCGCTGGTAGTGTGATGGTGAATTTTAGGTGTTAATCTGACCAGATGAAGGCATACCTGGATACTGGTACAGCAGTGTTTCTTGGTATGTCTGCAAGGGTATTTCTGGAGGAGATTGGCTTGTAAATTGATGAACTGTGTGGGGAAGATCTGCTCTCAATGTGCATGGGCAATATCCAGTCAGCTGGGGGGCCTGGATAAAACAAAGACACAGGAAGGGTGAATTTGAATTGTCTCTCAGAGATGAGACATGTGTCTTCCACTGCCCTTGGATATCAGAACTCCAGATTCTACTAGTTTGGACTCTGGGACTTGCACCAGCAATCCCCTGGGTTGTCAGGTTTTTGGTCTCGGGCTGAGAGACACAACATTGGCTTCTCTGGTTCTGAGGCCTTCAAACTTGGACTGAGTCATGCTACTGGCATTGCTTCTTCTTCAGCTTGCAGATGGCTGGCATACTGGGGAAATTTTCAGCCTTCATAATCACATGAGCCAATTGCCCTAACAGATTCTTCTCTTCTCTTCTCTTCTCTTCTCTTCTCCTCTCTCCTCCTCTCCTCTCCTCTTCTCTCTTTCTCTCTCTGTCTCTCTCTATACATATAGAGTGTGTGTGTATGTTTGTGTGTGTGTGTGTATATATATATATAGTTTCTCCAGAGAAACAGAACCAATAGAATATATATATGCATATGTATACATATGTACTTTTTTTTTTTGCTATGAGAATGCTTTACTAGGCAACACCACATACCATGAAAATGCTTTAAAATACAACAGGAAGAGATGTGAAGACGCAAAGAAAAAGTACATAGTGACACATGGCTATCAGAACACACTAAGTGATGATCCACACTGCTTCCATCCTTTATCCAGAAAAGGAATAATCTAGGTCACCTCCTCCTCAGAGAGAAACAGAACCAATAGAATACATACATGTATGTACATATATACATATGTATGACTAATACAGATATGACTTCTCCCTTTGTTTTAGGAGAGGCCACCTGAGTCTCCATCACGTAATAGGAATCTCATCATCACAACTCAGACCTCTGTGTTCTCATGAGTTTTGTGATGGTTAATTTTAGGTGTCCACCTGACCAGGCTAGGGCCTACCTAGGTAGCTGATACAGCAGCATTTCTTGGTCTATCTGTGAGGGTATTTCTGCAGGAGATTGGCTTGTGAGTTGATGGACTATGTGGGGAAAACCCACCCTCCTTTTTTTCTTTTGTATAAAAATAAGGGGAAGCTCATTAGGGAATCATATGAGATATTTGCCCGGAAGTACACTAGTCTGGTGCTTTTAGGGTAACAGGGAAATGCCCTGTGTCCATTCAGAAGGTCTTATACCCACAAATGGAAGGATATTGATTGAACCATAAATGTGCTGTGGTGCAAAATTTACATCCAGTCAATAGTGGTACTATTGTTATTTCAGATACAGGTTACATCTCAGTGTGCGGCTCCCTTTTTGTGACTGCACATCTTGATGTAACCTGGGTGGGTAATTCCTACACTCATGCTCCAGTGAGAATGGATACAGAATCTGAAGTGGAGACAGGGAGGAGACCCATGAATACCCCCATGGAGAGGCTGTGGCTGGGGCCTGGCAATCCCAGGAAGAGCTTTCTCATCTATGCCCAGAACTCCCCTGGTCCGGGGATACCAAAAGGCACACAGAAAAAGAGATCATTGCCCATGGCTGAGTCAGGACAGGAAAGGAGAGTTTTCCATCTCAGGGCTCAGATTCTTTAGGGTAGGGCACATGGAATCCAAGAGCTCTGAGAATTGTTATCAAAATAAGGTGTGATCCATCAATAAATAAGGTGTGATCCACCAATAGAATTCTCAACAATACTCTGACTTCTCCGGGGAGATAAACATCTACCAGGAGTATTTTCCTTGTATTTACATTTTTATTTCTTGATCATTATTGATTTACAAATTTTCTTTTGTTGAAAACATACACCTCATTTTGCAGCTTTGTCTGTTTTCTGTGCTAATGTTTCTCAAGCATTTACATGGTGCCTACACACGGTAACTAGCTAGAAGTGGATTTGCCATGAAGTCAATGAACAATAACTTTAGGCCTTCTCACTTGCACAGAATTTATTTATTTTTTAAATTTGAGACAGAGTCTCACGAGTCTCACTCTTACCCAGGCTGGAGTACAATGGTGTGATCTCTGCTCACTGCAACCTCCGCTTCCTGGGCTCAAGTGGTTCTCCTGCCTCAGTCTCCCAAGTAACTGGGATTACAGGTGCCCACCACCATGCCTGGCTAATTTTTGTATTTTTAGTAGAGACAGGGTTTTACCATGTTGGCTAGGCTGATTTTGAATGCCTGACTTCAAATCACCCACCCGCCTCGGCCTCCCAAAATGCTGGGATTACAGGCATGAGCCACTGTGCCTGGCCTTGCACAGAATTTTTTCAAGACACTGTCATTTTGTATTCTCTTTTTCAAAGCGATCCCTAAAATGTTATAAGCCTCATGCTCCACAAAACTTGGATCTACTCTGCACATACGCTCGTTAAATTTTTGTTGAATGACTGAAGAAAGAAATGAATGGTTCTCTGAGTCCAGGCAGACCCTGAACTGTGAAACATAAACTTAGCCTATTCAGTTACAAATAAGCTCAGAGCCTTAACTGAGCAGAGACCCATGTAAGTCTGTTGGAAACTCAGAATAAGTCCAAATGAACTTGGAAGAGATAGTCCACATATAAGACATTATAAGACTTGTGAATGAATGCATGGCAGTATAACTAAAAGAAAACCACGGCCTTTTTCAAAGAGAAGTGTCTTAGAGGGTCATTCCATTCTATAACTGTCAAAAGTTTTAAGCTGACCCTGAAGGCAAAGTTTGAGACGTGGGCTTTGGTGAAAGTAGTTTGCTTTGGAAAGGATCTCAGGAATTAGGAATAAGAGAGAGGGGAGAATGAAATAGGGAGAGGGGAAACCAGGATAAAGGTACAATATTGGGTTTGTGCTGGAGCAACAGGAGATGGAATCCATCAGGACTGCTCTGAATTCACACCTTTCTGGGAGCATCACACCTTGCATATCAGACTCAGTATCAAGCAGGAAATGCTGTAAGATGCAACATTTTCCACTTTCTCTTAAGGCACAACTGTTTATGTTACTTTTACCAATGAATGATCAGACTACTATATCGGCATTTTAGATGACTTTGTGTCTGAATCATAGGTGAATCAGACAAAAGTAATTCGTGTCTGCCTTTGTTACCAGATTGCACAAAGTAAATAACTGCTCGGCTAGAGATTTGTCAGAAAATTCACAGGGACCTAAGATTTATTGAGGTCTATTCTATGTATTAGACTCTGTCTTATTTACAAGTATAAAATTTCTATAAGATATACATTAATGGCCTCAGTTTACAAGTGACAAAACTTAGCCAAATGTTTTTCAAGTCACTGACCCAAGGAATCAGAATATGAACCACTGAGGTCTCCTCATCTCCAAGGAACCTTCCTCTTTAGCATGTAGCCTCCCACGTGAAAGATGTTATTCAAATGATTTGTGTCAGATGCATTGTTTCTAAAAGGGACATTTGGGTCAATGTCCAATGTTGAAGGTATCTTCCTCTACCAAAATGTATAGGGTGGAGTAACTTCAAGCATAGGTTGAAAGTTAGTATGGCCTAGGTGTGAGTCCAAGTTCAATATTTGTTAGCTGTACCTCCTTTAGAAAATTATCTAAATTCTCTAACAGTTTTTTACCTGTAATATGGGAGTGAATTGTTCTCCCTTATGAAGTTCTTAAGAAATTAATTGAAATAATGTACTTCGTATATGGCCCACAGAAAATGGGATTAACAGTATTGCTTGTTATTAGCAATCAACAAGGGAATTTTCTATAAGTTCACATAAAAGAGGTAGAATTAAGTTGGTCTCTGTCCACTGCGTACTTGCATATGCATCTGCAAATGGCACGTCATACACTTGGTAGCTGCTGTGCTGGTTGTTGCACATGTGCACCCAACGTTCCCCGCAACCCACTCTCGCCTCTCTGCCCTGTACTGCCCTGGGCTGTGCCCCTGAAGACTGATTTCAGCAAAGGGTGCTATCCAAGGTTTCGGCTGGGCTTTCCAATGGCAGACACCAGTTGGACACTGAAGGGTAATGAAGAGAGAGTTCAGCATATCTGCGCTTCCCCTTCCTAGCTTCTGGTCCTGAGTTCCTCCCTCTGGGAAACTTTTCTCATTACTTGCATGCACCTCCAGGAACACAGCATTTCCCTCCCACCTCTTTCTCCATAGGCCCAGGAGTTGTACTGGCTTCTCAGTGTGCTGGAAACCCCTGGTCCCTCCAACACTCCTTGTGTCCCTAAGTCTGTTTATCCCTCTGAACACAGTCCTTTGATTAAATTGTTTTCACTTCAGCCTTTTTGAATGTGTCATCTGTTCCACGCCAGAAAACTGACTGATTCAAATGACTCTCATACGTTGTAAATGCATGTATGAATAATTAGGAATATATTATCTTGCCAGACTTTAGACTTCTTAAAGACAAAATGTGTAATTTGAAAATTACATCTCATTTTCTGTATTCCAAGGAAATTTTTAACATAATAGGTATTCCAGGAATATCTACTGAATAAATTAACAAGCAAACAACAACTAAATGACAACAGCAAAACTATATATATACATGTAATAAATTTTCATGGACAAGTTGACAGAAAATATGAAATTTATTCCCCTGCTTTCCATTTCTCTGCTGCATAGCTGGGTGTGCTGATGCTTGTCTATGGCACTGAGTACCCTTAAATGTCCTCCAACAATCTCTCTCTCTCTCTTATTGCAAGAGCTAGAAGACTTGAAAATACATGTCCCAGATTCTCCTGAGAGCAAGTTTCTGAAAACAGTTTTGCTTCCCCCAGTAAGCTATACTTGTGGAAAAGTTTGAAGCAGAATAAAGACTTTTATCTGACAGCAACAGACAGGTGGATTTGCAACGACCTCTGGATACGTTCTTGTGAATCCGCCTCTTGGTCACTGCAAGACCACTGTGACTCTCAGCTATTTCCAGTAGTCCCTGACCTGGGCAAAAGTAGCAACTTCAGCCTTTCTGATCACTAGTGGTGGACCTGAGGGCTGAGAACCTCCCACTTCTCAGCCTTCCAGTGGTTTATAACCACTAATTCCCTGTATTAACTCGTATTCTCCTTGGAATTTCTGGAGGATTCTGTTTCCTTGACTGAACCCTCTGATGTATTAGAAATGCCCCTTGTCCCTATACGTCTATATTAGGACATATTGTAGCCCCATTCTATATGGAACTAAGACAGGACAAATATTCTCTAGCCAGAAGTTGTATGTCCTGGAGGTTGGCAGGTCATAAGCCATAGTAACCACATTCCATAATATGTGACCCTCTTCTACTGCTTGGCTAGTCTTGAGATGGAAGAATGGTGCTTTGCTGTAGCTCCTTGACCAAGGCCCAGGAAACACTATAGAATTTTAGAAGTTTTATTTTGGAGGCATGGAGTCGTAGGTTTGGATCCTGGCTTTGATCCTTAGAAATACGAAATACTGGAGAAGTTCATGAGGCACCGCTCCGTATCTATAAAATAGTACACTGAAATCTTCTTCATTTTTAAAGTGGATATACTAATGTCTATCTTTGCATTAAAACACATAAAGTCAGGAGGATCATTTGAGGAGTTTGAGACTAATCTGGACAACATGACAAGGCCTCATCTCTACAAAAAATAAAAATTAAAAAAAAATAGCCAGGCAAGGGGACACGTCCCTACAAGGTGATGTTTCCCTGTAGTCATAGCTACTCAGGCAGCTGAGGCAGGAGGATTGCTTGAACCCAGGAGCTCAAGGTTGCAATGAGCCATGATCACACCACTGCATTCCAGTCTGGGTGACAGCGTGAGACCCTGTCTCAACAAAGAAAAAAAAAAAAAGTGCACTGCTATGATTTGACTGTGTTCCTAAATAATTTATATATTGAAAACTTGGTTCCCAATGCAGCAGCATTGAGAGGTAGGACCTTTGGGAGGTGACTAGGTCTTAAGGACTCTGCCCTCATGAGGGTTAATCCATTCATGGATTAATGGGTTATAGAGGGAATGGGTAGGTTATCATGAGAGTGGGTCTGTTATAAAAGCCAGTTTGGCCATCTTTCATGAACCCCCTCATATATGATGTCCTGTGCCACCTGAGGACTCTGCAGAGTCCTCACCAGCAAGAAGATCCTCACCAGATGTGGGTCCTTGACCCTGGACTTCCCAGCCTCCAGAGCTATAAGAAGCAAATTTCATTTATTTATAAAATACCCAGTCTCAGGTATTCTGTATGGCAACAGAAAACACACTAAAACACATGCCCATATGTTGGCACAGAGTACGAGCTCCCACCACTTGCTAGGAATTAAAAAGTACTGGCTAACATGTGAGAACTTCCAGTGAGTCCAGAGCCCACAAGTGCAGGAGCTCTCACTGAGCTCAGCAGGACAGGGGAAAATGTTTGAAAAGAACTAGAAGCATCTCTGGGGCTTGGCTAAAGTTGTGTGGCAGCCCCCACCTCCTTCTCCCTGTTACATCCCCAGCTGAGACAGGAGGGTTTGGGTACAGAAAGCCAGTAATTCTGCAGGGCTGTGCCTAAGCTGCTGGCACAGAGGTACACGGCTGAGTCCCCCAGCTCCAAGGAGCTCATGTTCAGTTCAGAATGATAGTCACTGAACTGTTGAGCTGAGAATCGATCAGGGATGCTCCCTTTATCTCTCTGCATCTTTTCATAAAACGAAATGAGGAACTGGGGGCCCTGACCTGGACCCTGCTGGTACCAGTAGACAGTGTCGTGTTCAGGGATAGGATAGCATTGCAGAGTGGCTGTTTCCCTCTTTTCTTTGATCAGGTGCCTTGGGGACTGGGTGACTCCAGCAGCCACTGAACCTGTGGAGGAAGGGGACAGAAGCTGAAGACTCAGCTCAGGAGAGTTTGATACTTCAGCAACAATTGAATGCTATGGATGCAGGGATGTCCCACCTGTATTCAGGACTCACCTGTCCCCAGGAGACAAAGCATGACATGGCAGAGGAGCCTGGTATTCCAGGCAGAGTCAGGCAGGTCAGGACTAAGCATCTCCCTTTTCAGGGTGCTGGTTTCCTGGGGTGAGAAAGCAGGGCTTTTGCTCCTCCTCACCGTTTTTTGGAGGTTTTTACTGTGATGTCACTGTTCTGATGTCATCATCCTGTAGGCTCCCATAGGCACCCTGTACTCCAGGACTAGCTCGGTTAACTCAGGCTTGCCCCCTTCCTGTCCAGCTTCCTGCAGGGCAGGGGAAGCTAGCTGCGCTGAGCAAGGGGTCGGGGGCAGGCTTCCGGGCAGACAGCCATCCCCACAGCTTCTGAGATCTTCATCTGAGACAGATGCTCCTTTGTCTCTGCCTGGCTTGGGTTATCCAGGCTGCCCTGCTGAAACCCTCCCCACACTCCCTTTCAAACTTAGGCACCTAGAGAGGTCACATAAGGCTGCAGTTCATGGCTTCCTGTCATGACAAATACACATGCATAACGGTTGATCTGATAAGGCTATGATTAACTCTTCCTGTGCCAGCACTACCTCCGGTTCATCTAGTAATATCCCTGATACAGAGACGAAATCAAGACTGTCTCCCTTAACCCTCTCTCTCCCAGACAGCGCTATCAGTGACCCACTCAGTGGATCCACAGTGCCCTCAAGTGGCCAGTGTGTAGTCACTATGATGAAGCTCTAAGGACTCTGACTCGGGAGGCTGGGTGCTTCCAGCTCTTGCTGATTTCAGGTTTACCTGCCTCAAACTCAACTTTTGCACACGGTAGTGAGGGAGAAGCAAATGTTTTTCTAAACAAGAAACAAAACTTTTACATTTTAATTTAAATTTTAAATTTCATCAAATAATGGTGTAAGAAAGGAGATATCAGCCAGTCGTTAAATGCCAGCTGCCATAGGAATGGGGTGAGACCTGGGCAAAGCATTCCCTTCAACCAAAGGTGATTCCTGGAGGCAGCTGACAGTGACCTGCTATCAGCGAAACAACCACCTAAGCTGGAGAAATAAGCACATTAGTCTCATGAAAAGAAACTGCCTACTTATATATCTTTTATTTTTTTAATACTCTAGTCAATTTTTTGTTTTTAGTGAATTGTCTTCTTTATGATTGATGTGTAGGAATTCTTTATAATATGAATCCAGCCCTTTCTCAGATTACGTTTATCTTTTTAAAATAAATTTTGAAGAACTTTTTGGGATTTGCATAAAGAACAATTTGCTTTTTTATGGTTAGAACATTCTTTTGTCCTTAAGAAATCTTTGCCTACCCCATGATCATGAAGAGAGCTTGCTATGTTTTCTTCCAGAAGCTTTGGGTTCTAGTTTTTCGATATCTGGGATTTTTTTGTGTCTCTTACTAATTTTTGTTTATGGGAAGGGTCAGCAGTTGTCCTGTAAAGGGTGAGATAATAAATTTTTTAGTTTTGTGCATCTTGTGGTATTTGTGTTGACTCCTCAACTCTGCCATTGTAGTGCAAGAGCAACCATTGACAATATATACATGCATGACTGTGGCCATGATCCAACAGAACTTCATTTATGTTTACTGAAATTTGAATATCTTATATTTTTATATGTAACAATTTTTACTTTTTTAACTTTTTTACTTCTTTAATTTTTGCTTTTTTAAAGTATTTTAAAAATGTAAAATTATTGTTAGTTTCTGAGCTATATGAAAACAGAGGCCAAATTTGGCCCCGAGGCCATAATTTGCCCACATCTGGTTTATGGAGTGAGATAAGGCTAGAGATTCATTATTTTTCCCTATTATGACATTTTTCTAGAACTATTTGCTAAAAAGACTATTTTGTCCTCTTTTTGCTGTTTTTAGTATTTGATCTGGGAATTACAATATGCATCTTTGACTTATCACAGTTTGCTTGCAAAAATATTCTCCTATTTAACCATGGGATGTCATAAATGTCCTTTTTTAGGGGAAGAAAATTTCTTATTACTTTGATAACAGTTTTCATCAAGAAAGGATGTTGAATTTTATCAAATGTTTATCTATAGATAGCATATAGTTTTCATATTTTTAGTACAGATAAGGTAAATGACATAGTCTGTTTTTTGAAATGTCCGACCAACACTGCGTTACTGAGATAAACCCTACTTGACCGTGTTGTACTATCCTTCTTACATATTGTTGGATTCTCTAGGCTGTAATTGTAAAAGGATCATTGAATCTGTGTTCCTGAGAGATAATAGTAGCTTTCTTGGAATCTCTTAGTCTCATTTTCGTATCAGGATAGTTCTGGCCTGAGAATGAATAGAAAATTATCCCCTGTCCTTCAGTTTTCCTCTCAGTCCTGCTTTGGCAGCATCCTACCAACTTTGATATATTTTTATATTTGTTCAGTTTAAAATAATTCTTTTGAACATTCTCAAACATTTTATGCATATATAGCAATTTCCTTAAAATAAATTCATTAAACAAAAAACATCTCTGAGTCAAGGACTGTTAGCAATTTTAACTCTTTTGACGTTTGTTGCTAAATTATTAGACAAAAAGGATTTTACAATTTACTCTCCCCCCAAAAAAGGAAGGGCTGGGCCAGGCACAGTGGCTCACACCTATAATCTCAGCACTTTGGGAGGTTGAGCCAGGTGAATCACCTGAGGTCAGGAGTTCGAGACCAGCCTGCCCAACATGATGAAACCCCATCACTGCTAAAAATATAAAAACTAACCGGGCATGGTGGTGGGCGCCTGTAATCCTAGCTACTCAGGAGGCTAAGGCAGGAGAATTGCTCTAACCCAGGAGACAGAGGTTGCAGTGAGCCGACACCGTGCCACTGCACTCCAGCCTCAGTGACAGAGTGAGACTCTGTCTCAAAAAAAAAAAAAAAAAAAATCTCATTTATCCATTTATCTTCATTCTCACCAGTATTTGGTCAAAAAGAAAAAAAAAATGACCAAAAGATACTATTAAAATAATTGTAAATTATCTTTTATCTTTTGATTTATTCTTTGCCTTATGAGTTATTTAGAAAACTATTATCTAATTTTGAAATATTTAGGACTTTTCCAGAAATCTTTCTCTTATTGATTTGTAATGAAGTTTCACTGTGACCAGCAAGCACACTTGGTTTGACGTGAATACTTTTAATGCATGGATGCTTGTTTTATGGCCCAGAGTACATAGTCCATGCTGGCACACAGTCAGTGCGCACTCCAAGAGAACATATATTCTGCTGCTATTGGATGAAGTGTTCTGTAAACGTCAATTAAGTCAAGTTGGTTGTTGGTGTAGTTCATATCTTCTGTATCCTTACTCGTCTTTGTTTTTGTCAGCTCATTAAACCAGTTACTAAAAGAGGGGTATTGAAATCTCTGATTGTAATTGTGGATTTGTCTAATTCTCCTGGCAGTTCTGTTTTTGCTTTGGTATCTTGAAGATCCATTTTCAGGTACATAAGTATTTGATTGTTAAGACCTCTTGATAGACCAATACTTTTGTCATTAGGATATGACTTTCATTATCTCAGATATTCTCTGCTTGAAATTTATTTTGTTTGATATTAACATAACTACTCTAGCTTTCCTTTAATTGGTGTTGGCATAGTACATCTTTTTCCATACTTTTATTTTTTCACATTCTGAGTCTTCATAGTATTCTGATAAGCAACATATAGTTGTTTTTTGATATTATTTAATGATACTCAATAGTACAATCTGTGCTTTTAGACTATTTAGATTTGATGTGATTGTTGATGTGGTTACTTTTGTGTCTATCATCTTCTATTTGTTTTCTATCAATCCCATCGCTTCTATATTCCTTTTATCTTTTTATGTTGTTTTTATGGATTATTTGAGCATTTTTATAACTCCGTATTGTGTTGGCTGTGTTTTGTCATCTTAGTGGTTGCTCTGTGATTTTCAGTATGCATCTCTACTTTAACACAGTCTACCTTCAAGTGACTTCACTCAGATTATGGAAACCTTCCAAAGATACATGTGTTCATTTATTCCTCACCTGTCTTTATGCTAGTCTTGTTATAGATTCACTTTTGCGTATATTAGAATCCCTGCACTGTGTTGGAATTATTTCAGTGTAAATAGCCAATTATCCTTTAAAGAAATTTAAGTTTAAAAATTTGCTTTTGGGACTCTAATTACATATTAAGCTACTTAAAATTGTCCCTCAGTTTACTGATGACCTCCTCTTATTCTCCGTATTTCATTAAGAATTGTTTATGTTATTTCTTCAAGTTTATTAATATTTTATCCTGTAATGTCTAATCTGATGTTAACTTCATCCAGTATATTTTTCATAACAGACATTGTAATTTTTATCTCTAGAAGCTTCGTTTGGACCTCATTATGCCTTTCCCCATCTCTACAAAACTTCAAACTTACAGACCAGAGTTACAATAACTGTTTGACTTTCTTTGTCTGCCAATTTGTCATTTCTGAGTTGGTTCCTATTAATTAATCCTTCTCTTTGTTATGGATCCTTTTTTCATGCTTCTTTGCAGGTCTGTAATTTTTGATTGATGCCAGATATTTTGTATTTTATATTTTTGGGTGGTAGATATTTTTATATTTCTATTAATATTTTTACCTTTGTTCTGCGATGCACTTAAGTCAGTTGGAAACAAACAAAAACAAAAACAAAAATCCCAGCAGTTATCTTTTTCTTGAATAATTTGGCAAGCTGATTTTAAAATGTATATGAAAAAAAAGTGTCAAGAGTGCTCAAGAACACTTGATAAAAAGGAACAAAGCTTGAGAAATTATTCTACCGGATATTAAGAATGAGGATGAAGCTGTAGTAAGACAGTGTATTATCAGTGCAAGAACTGACAAAACAGACCAATGTAACAGAATAGAGACCTGAGAAAAAAGGCCACACATGTATAATGACTGACTTATGACAAAAGTGGTATTACAGGGTGATGGCGAAACTATTACCACTTAACAAATAGTATTGGGTAAATTGAATAATCATTTGGAAAAATAAAACTTGACTTCTTCCTCATATCACGTGCAAAGAATTAATTCCAGTTCGATTGTGAGTCTAAGCGTGAAAAGTGGAAAATATAAAGATTTTAGAAGGAAATATAAGAAAACATGATCATTTTGAAGTAAGCAAGCATTTCCTAAAGTGGACACCAAAATACAAAACACTAACTGAAACAGGAGAAACATGGAATGATTATCACTTAAGAACTTCTGTTTATCAAGAGAAACTATTAGTAGAGGGAAAAACTAATCTACAGAGAGAGAGAAAAAAAAATTCCATCCAAAACTCTTATATACCTCTCATGGGAATGTAAATTGGTACATCTTCTTTGGAAACCTCAAAGAATCCTACGTAGTTGATATAATTTTATTCAGGTCTTCTTTGAATTGTGTCCTTTTAACACCTTCCCAGATGGGATTTATCTTATGAAACCAATCTCAATTTGTATTTCTATTTTTTTTAAGTTAGACTGGAGAAGAAGGAAATTAAACACAGAATGACTACAAGATTTTCAGAAGGAAAAAAGCGATATATAAACCTGAGTTAATATGTATTATTGTGTGTAATAGTTATTTCTGAATAATTGATTTTGATGGAAATTCTTACTAAATATTCCAATTTTCTTCCAAGGGTGGTAGCTGTAAATGGTCTTAACAGTGTTTGCTTTTGGCTTCCCCACTCCTTAGCAGATTGTAGGTCTGAGTTGGTGACCACGTGGTAACAGTAGTTTAATATGAATGTGCTGAAACTTCATAGTTCTTTTTTTTTTTTTTTTTGAGACGGAGTCTCGCTCTGTCACCCAGGCTGGAGTGCAGTGGCCGGATCTCAGCTCACCGCAAGCTCCGCCTCCCGGGTTTACGCCATTCTCCTGCCTCAGCCTCCCGAGTAGCTGGGACTACAGGCGCCCGCCATCTCGCCTGGCTAGTTTTTTGTATTTTTTTAGTAGAGACGGGGTTTCACCGGGTTAGCCAGGATGGTCTCGATCTCCATAGTTCTATAAGAGAATATTTAGTTAGTCACTATCCCTGAGACTAAGCTCTGTTAT